TGTGAAATTGAATCCTCTTAATTCTGTGGATAAAACAAGTAATATTACTTTCAGCATTTCAATACTAAAGAAAATGTGCTGTATTTTCTTACTCAATGTTGCAGACCAATTATTGCTTAACATCAGAAAACACATTTTAAAAGGTAGCAGAAAAATTAAGAAATTATATCCAGTAACAAGTTAAAAAAATATTAATCAAATACAGTCAAAACTTGTGCTGTATTCTGTTCAGAGAAGGGTGTTATTAGTTCCATTGTTTGCTTCACCACAAAATGACAAAGTTTTCTATTTGTATAAGATCAATATCAAAAACCCAATAGACTACCTAAATTTATAGCTTGATACAGGATCTTGTAAATGCCTTCCAGATGAGGCTGTTTACATTTGAAGTGCTAGCTATCAAACATTCCTAATATATAGCTAATATTCATTGATTTTTATGTAGCCTTATTTTGCGCTACAAAGAAACTTCTGAAATGCTTTTCTGAAAAGATACCTAACCTCTTCTCACATATTAGCTTTTTTATCAATTTTATGCTGCTCTCTATATGAGCAATTTTTTGCTCACCATTAGCCCTGAGGCTCCCACCTAAACTCGCTTGTTTCCATGTGCTATTGTCATACTGTTACGACAGTGGGGGTCACGTGATGAATATTCTAGAAGATTCGCTAGTGTGTTGCGAAAGCGTTGCATCAACTGACGCTGGTAGCACGTGTTGAGAATCTTAGAAGTTTCTAGAACAGACAGTATTAGTGTATATAAGTGAGCTAGACAGTGAGAGAGACAGACGGAGTCGAAGCAATAGTGGAGACAGAGACATAGCGGAGATGAAGCAGGCAGAGAGAAAGAAGGACAGCGGTTACGGTCGGCGGGAACTGGGGATAGCAGACACAGAGATCGGAACTATAGTTTGCGGGGACGGACAATTAAGTCTAAGCACGATAGAAAGTGAGTGAATTGTTGTGAGCTATAGTGTGTGTAACTGTGAAAATTAAGTACATTACAAAGTTGTATTGAGGAAGAATAAACAAGTTTTATAAAGAAAGGACTTGTATCTTGTAAGAATTAACAAAAAAACATACAGAGACGTAACAATACAAATAAGCATGCAACAACCATCCACCAATAGGAGTGAATCACACCCTCCTAATGCAACTGACTTTTTCTATACTAATTGTTCAAGCCTCACTTCTCGATGTGGCACTTGTGTGTAATGATGCCTTTTTTTTTCATTCATAAACTTTTCAGATATAGGCATTTTTTAATGGAAGTATCTACAAAGACACTATTGTTGGATTTTTGTTTTCCAGCATTTTCTGCACCTGCAGATTTTGAGGCCTTTTATTTCCACATTATTATTTCATAAGTATCAGTAACTTCCACTTTATCTGGTGTGACACAAGGAAACATTGTTAAGTAAGTCTAACAACTACATCGGCATCAGATTTTTCTTTGTCTGTTGGGAGAAGTGACAGCTTTTGTGTTGTGAATGGTGAAGTCATTCTTGTGGCCTGGACCTCCTATTGAACCTGACATAGCTCTGTCTATGTTTATCCTTTGTAATGGAAGGGACTTTGCAGGTTTTTTTCCCACCACCTTATACCCATGTTGTCTTGAATTTACCTAATATTTTTCATAATTTTGGGACTGAGTTTCTCAGGTATGTTTTTCTTTCACTTTGTACTTTGTTCCCTGCTTCTGACTTTTATGTTTTTTACTTCCTATCCAGATATGCAAGTCCATATTCAGTTAGTTTTATCACCACTTGGATGCATGCATGCCACATCCTCTTTCCTTTGTTACCACATATGTCTAGGCATAATTTCATGCTGTATTACATTTTTCTGACTCCTAAACTCATTTTTCTCAGGCTTAAGTTTACCCATCTTTGCCTTACACTCTCTACCCCTTTTCCATTATTTTTCCTCCTTTCACCTTCTTTCCGTGATCTTCTGCACATGCTTGTTCACTTATGTTCTTTACAGTGGCATGTTTATCTTCCTTGGCCTTAGCACTTCATATTTGGTTCTGTTACTTGGTTTTCTTGGGGCATAATACCCTCTATTCATATGTTTTGGCTTCATTTTATCTCATATGCCTTCGCCTGGCTTATTTCATCTGTCAGTGTGGTTTTACTGGAGTGCTTGGTTTTTCTGGAGTCGCATGTTGGGGCTATATGCCAATGTTATTTCTTATCCTCACTAGTTTATCATCTGTCCTGTGCTCCTTCTTTGCCTCTCTCTGCCCTCTACTCCTGCATCCTCACCTTTCCCTGTCACCATATCCCCTTCCTCTGTCTCATCCATCTTCCCACTACTCATAGACTTCAGTGTTGTCAGTCTTGGTGGTGATTATCCTATAGGCTCAGGGTCAGTAGGGCTCATTTAGTTCAGTTTACAAACCATTGCCTTCCATTTGCAGCTTATTGGTGGGTAGTTGGAATTCTATCATAGAGCTTTGCCCATCATTTTTTCCTTCTCATCCTCCATTGTTTCCTGTTCCTGTTATTTTCCCTCCTCCAAGGGATATTGTTTCTTGCCAACATCAGTCTGTAGCAGTGTTGGACCTAATGGCTAAATATGCTATTGGATGGATTTCTAATCCTTCTTGTGGATTTTATTCCAATCTTGGATTTTTCATGTCTCAGTCAATTTCTCGATCTCCATCCATGAGGACTTTTCTCACCCTAAAGTGGTTATTTGTTCCAGGTCTTGGGATGACCGAGGTGGAATTCTCGGATGCTTATTTCCTCTTTGACTTCATTCCAACAAGTCTTCTACAGCCATCCTCTTCTCCTCCTTCAGGAGGTGATGTGTCTGGGTTGGTTGAGCAACCTGGAGAAGTTGCATTTCACACCCGCTCTGTATCTCATTCTTTTGAGTGTTTTTAACTATATAGCCACAGGTATCCTTTACTGTGCATGACACAAGGTTTTAGTGTCTTACATTTAAAATTTTATTAAACTACTTTTGTTTATGTTATACCAATTAGTATAGCATAAAATCTTAGCTAATTATCCATATTCTAATAGTATATAAGTTTAAGTTTTTAATTCTATAAGGCAATATTTAAAACAATCCTGAATTTTCCCTATTGTGACACACGTAATATACTTTCTTTAGGTACCTTCTCTTCTCACTAGTTTCAAATATTTCTCCCTTATGCACTATACGGATTAGCATTCCAGATGATGTCTCTATAGTTGTTTATTTTAGTTGCAAACCAAAATCAGAATGTATTTATCTCTCAGTTATATAAATGTTTGAGAAAGCACAGTTGGTTTGGGGCAAGGAAACAACATTATGAGAATCACTTAAACTATGTTGTTATCTGGTGGTACAACTTGAAATTGTGCTTATAGTTTGCTATGAAACACCACTTTTGTATTAGATAGAATTATAATGACATCTTCTGTATACACTATTGTAGTCCATTATTCTTGTGAATATTTTGGTCAACATTTTATGGATTCACCAAAGAGCTGCAGTTAACCTGGTGTTCAGGCTGTACTAGAAGATAACATATGTAAGACCTCTAAACCTAAAATGCTGATAGTCCATCCAAGATCTGCTACTATTTTTCCATTAACTTGCTGAAGTGGTGTTTTACATGAAATGGTATACCATGAGATTAAGTATAGTTTTAGCAGCACATAAAAACTCTTGACTTGTGTTCCTGTAATTTAACAAGTACATATCAAGCCAGACTTGGCTTTGTAAAAATCATACTAATCACCACTTGAAAAAGCTGATTTTGGCTTCACTAGTTTAAATTGGTTGACCTAACTGATTCATAGCCTGTCTTCTCCCTCCAGTAATGTTTCCAATTGAGAGCCATTCACCATAGTATTGTGTATTTTATGTCAAAGTTATTAACTTTTCATTTTACCCTACATTGCTGATTTAGTGACAGTTCATGGTAGAGAAGAGTAAATACCAAATACAATATACAGGGATACCCCAAAAAAATGTGTAAAATAGATTTTATTTAAAGTTGAACTAGTGAGAGTGTAAGTTTCTGGTAGGGCACCAAAGCTGAACAGGTTAGTGATGAAGGTCGAAACTAAAAATGGACACCTCAAGAATAAAGGGTTAGGCTAAGTTCTACACTTCAACTTGCAAAACATAGAGGATTACATAAACACACTGATGACAAACTCAAGGTTTAAAAAAGAGGGGTTGGATAGAACATACCTTAAGGAAGATAACATCCACATCACTAGAAATTTTCTGATGTGGGACCCTCAAGATAATCAAAAGAGATATAGACGTATGAACAACTGGTAAACAGACACAGAGGCAGAATTAAAAAGAGTGCGGTAAACCTGGAGATAGATATATATAGAGTAGTCCAGAGTCGAGTTAGCTGGCAAAGAGTTGTTGAGGACTTATGCTCAATGTGATGTTACAGGCTTAAGTAAGTAAAGTTGAACTAAAGATGATTTGCATGACTAGCACAAGTAATGGATAAAAGGTTATAACATGGCAAACTTCATCAGCAAGTCATGACACTTCTAAGTTGGAAAAAATCTGCTTCAAATATCCTAAAATAAATTTTCAGTATACAGTTTCTGCAGTTGACCAGTCAGAAAATTTGCACACAAGAATGTGGAAGTATCTCTGCTCCATGTACAGTCGTAAAGCAGTACCTTTTACACAAGGTAGAGTAGGATACTATACAAGTATCCCATTAAACCGTAGATTAGATCCTTGACCAGACCTACTGACCTCATCTAAATAATTTAAGTATTATAAGTATGAAATACCCACTATAGAAAGTAAGTTATATAGTATTTGCATACTAGATATCAAGTAGAAATGGATTGAAAGTTTCAGAAAAAGGTATGTTTAGAACAATTTTTTTAATTTTCAGGATCAATATATTTCTGTGAATTATTAGTATTATTAAACATGCCTTTCAGGTGTACATAAGCAGGGATATTTCAGTGAGATTTTCTAGAGTAATGCAGTATGTGTAACAAGATTTTGTTAACTTTTAGCTTTTAAATCAGTTGGAAGCCACAGGACCACCACCCCTGTCAAAAGAGAAAATTTCTAAAATTCCAATAGTACACATAGAACAAGATCAAGTTGGTAAGTAAATGCTTATCATGTTTATTGTAAACTAAGACAAAATATGAATACAGTAACTAATGTTTCATTTTGATCAGAGGGAAATATTACATTATGCTTTATGTACAGAAAATGGATGTGTATCTAAAGCTTTGAACTTCATTAAGGTGACTAAACTCTTTGTCTTATAATTAATCATGATCATGAATGAAATAAAAAGATTCCCACAGCCTGTGTCATAACAGTAATAACTCAGCAGAAGATGTATGAGCTGAAGGATGTTTTTATTGATTAAACTTGTATGTATATACCTTCTGTGGATGGTTTTGAAAGAGCAGCCAAGAGAATAAGCTTGAAGAATTCAGGGTGAAAAAAGAAATAATAGAAAGAAATGTCCACTAAAGGTGCACTAAATAAGATAAATGTGGATATTTACACACAAGTTATTGATTGTGAGAACGTTTTTTATTTCTGACTTCTTTTAGCATAATTTTATTTTTCATAATACTTAAAATAGCTAAATATGAATAAAACATATACAAATATTCCCAATATTAACTCTTTTGTGACTTTAGTTACCTAAGGTCACTCCATGGGCATAATTGCTTGTTTTACTTCAAAATTTCATTTAGAAAATATAATTTTAATCTATTTCAGGAAATATTGTGCCAAAAAAGTGTACAAACGTTATTAAAATGATGTGTAATGGTTCTTTAGTTAACCCTTTGGGCATGGGTGGGGGTCAGAGTGCACAAGCCATGACCTTGTACAGAGAACCATTCACTATGGTATTGTATATTTGATGCCAAGCTTATCAACTTTTCATTTTACCCTGTATTGCTGATTTTGTTATAGTTCATGGTAGAGGAGAGTAAATACCAGAAACAGAATAGAAGGATACTAAAAACTGTAGATATGCATCTTGGAGATTCTATAAGTTATGCAATATACAGACTGTAAGATGGACAAAAGTATTTTTATTTTCCACATGAACATCCCCTTGCACTACAGTTTGTCAGAGTATGAGTCAGACTGACATTGGAACTTGAGTATAAATACTTTTTGAACATGTTTGATTTTGTGTATAAAACAAACATTTACATATTATTAAAAGCTTGCCACATTTCATATAGATTCATCTACTAAATTTGAAATTGTAGTCAACATTACTTTTTCAGTATCCCGTTGGTCCATGAACCCATGCACATTTGATTAATTTTATAAATAAAGATTCTAAAAATGAAGAACTTTAATTTTAGTAGTATCTGAACTGCATTCTATGCATTTTATTGATTAAACTCTCATGTCTATTCCTCCCATGGATGGTCTTGACAAATTATCCCATCTTTGAAAACAAATACACTTTCAACCTAAAATGCTTTGTAAAGTGAAGGTGCTAAGCTTCAAGATGGTATATTTGAATCTTGAACACAAGGTTTTAAGAAATAGTTTCCCACTAATTAGAGGCCTGTGGATTTTTTTATAGTTTACTTTGATTCTTTTCATGTTGCTGACACTAGATTTTATATTTTTTCATTTTAAAAACTACAGGTATCTTTTCTACAACAAAAATATTTAGTACGTAAGCCTGACAAATTGCACAGTAACTTCACTTGCAAGTTATTTTTCATCATTCAGAATTTATGCATTTGTTACGACAGCGGGGGTCACGTGACACTAGTAACACGTCATATTCTTGAAGGTTCATGAAGCCTCGAGCCTATACTAGATTTTTGGTATTCTTGTATATATATAAGATGGCCAAGAAGCGACGGCAACAATGTGTAATTGAATTGCAGACAGAGATAGATACAGACAGTTGAGTCGAGCACGTCGGACGTTTGTTGTGAATTATAGCATTTGTTATAGCGCGACTGTGGAAATTAAGTGTATTGCAAAGTTGTATTCAGAAAGAATAAACCAGTTTTATTTAAGAAAGGACTTGTACCGCTAAAATTTCATCTGAAAGAAATTATACGGGAAACAAACTAACAACCAGAGATGTAACAAATTGATGTCATAGAGTGGGAAGAAAAACAAAAAATGGAAACGAGAAGCGGCAAATCAAACTACAGCTTAGCAGATTTGATGGCAGCAATACAAGAACAGCAAAAGAAACAAGAAAAACGAGAAGAGAAACAAGAAGAGAAATTACAGCAGTTCGTGGAGGAAAAAGAAAAGAAACAAGAAGAACAAGAAGAGAAATTACAGCTATGGTTGGAGGAGAAAGAACATAAACAAGAAGAGAGACTACAGCAGTGGCAACTGGAACAAGAAAGGAAACAAGAAGTAGAAACGGTAAACATTAGTAAATTTCAGAGCGAATTAAATACACTAAAGGATGATTTATTGTCTTTTACACAAGGAGGATACATTAACTATCGACTTAATCAGCCCCAGACAACGGCAAACCCCTTCCAGACAACGGCAAACCCCTTCCAGACCCCGCAGCTAAACCCTAATGCAGACATCTTCAGTCCTGTTAGAAGTCACATCCCAGATATGAATGTCAGCAATAGGGGTGAATTAATACAAATGAAGCCACAGAAATTCGATGGGAAGGCACCCTGGGAAGCATATAGAGCACAATTTGAGCTCCTGGCAGAAATGAATGGGTGGACAGACGAGCAGAAAGCAGTATATCTGGCAACGAGTTTGAAGGGACAACCACTGGAAATACTTGGACAGTTGTCAGCAGAAGACAGGCACAACTATAGAGCACTGGTAGCGGCTCTAG